CACTCACATACAAATCATAAGCTTATAAACCTATGATGAAAAAACAATTGCATAAAAAAGATATTTTAAAATTTGTTTTTCCTTTATAAATTTATTTATTTATTTATATATGTACATTAGTTTTTCTTTATTAAAATTATATTAATAAATTTAATTTTAAAATATATTTTACTCAATATTATTAAATTCAAATTTAAAATAAAATATAGGAGAAAAAGTGAATCATTTTTTGTTGGATGGACAATTCATGTTTAACCATATATGTTAACTAAGATTCACACATAAATCATAAGTTTATAAACATATAATGAAAAAAGAAGAAGATAATTCTATAAAAAAATATTTTAAATATTGGTCATTTATTTTTACTTTATAAATTTATTTGTTTGCTTATATTTTTAATGATATATATATATATATATATATTATTTTTTATTATATTATATAAATAAATAGGCTAATCTATCACATATAACAATTTTTTTTATAAGTTTAAGTCTAGTATTTTTATCTAATTTAATTTTTATTTATCATAATTATTTATAAATTTTAATTATATATAATAAATATATTTTTACACATATTAAAATACAATAACTACTCAAAATCATTTATATAGGAATAGTTAATCACTCACATATTTAATATTAATCGTTTTTATCGTTTATTTTATTTTTATTTTTAATAATACATGGAGGTACAATGCCTGTTTTTTATGCTAGTATTTAATTAAAAAAATGTTCTTGAAATTAATGTGTGAAGCATAAATTTGAATAATATAATAATAAATTAATAATATGTGGGCCTTGTAGACGTGTTCACTGGGCCTAGAGCCGTAGTTGAAGGTTTACCCCATTGTCCACTAGGAAGAAGAGGCCCAGCCCAATTAAATTGAGGGAAGGCGAGTTATATGAAAACGGATGCAAACTAGGTTTTGGGATGCATCATCTTTTTCTTCTCTCTGATTGTGCCGCTACTTGCATTTCATTGCGTAACAATGGTTGCAGCTAAAAAAACTGTAATCTGATCTCTTCATGACTGCTTCACTTTTGCATACTAATTTAATTTGTTTTCAGCTTTAGGGTTTTCAATGCTAATTCCATTTTAATGTTTCTGATTTCAGAAGAAGACCCATGAGAGCATCAACAACAGGCTCGCTCTTGTCATGAAGAGCGGCAAATACACCCTTGGATACAAGACCGTTCTCAAATCTCTTAGGAGCTCCAAAGGTCTCTTTTTTCTACACTTTACTTAAATGGGGGTTTCGATGTTTGTAAAATGATTCATGAATATGGTTTGATTCTTTGCAGGGAAACTCATTATCATTGCCAACAACTGTCCCCCTTTGAGGAAGTCAGAGATAGAGTATTATGCTATGTTGGCTAAGGTTGGAGTTCATCATTATAATGGGAGTAAGTTCTTTATCCCATGCTTTTCTTCCCTCTCAGGTCCCTTTAATTTGTGTTAAGTGTTTCGGACTTATGCCCTGCAGAACTGTCTTGATCTTTATGCACTGGGATGTGGGCCTCTCAGGTTGATTTGTTCTTGTTGGATTTAACGTGAAATATTGTGTTTACCATCAATTGCTTAGCCTGTTTGTGTCTTAGTTTATCATATTTGATCTATCGTTTTATTCCTTAATGATTCAAGTCAATATTTCGATACATCTAAAGAATTTATTTACTTAAATTTATTAGTCACAGAGAAACCAACCGTATGCTTGAGTCAGTCATATGATTGAATGTCCTAAACTAAAATTATACACTGGAATTGGTTTTTATGATATGCATTTATAGTAGATGATGGAAGTATTTAGGAAGTGTTTGATAAAACTAGCTGAAAGGCTAGCGGAAAAGAGACTCTTTGTTTAAAGATAAAATAATAAAATAAGAGAGAGAAATAGTAGAGGTTAAATAATAGTAGGTGGTTTGCAATTGGAAGGTGAAAGTAGTTTGATTTGGCCTTTGGGATAGTTATTGGGGTAAAATAGGAAAAAAAAATTGTGTGCCAGAACCATGGATTGTTTTTTGGTAGCTAAAATAGTATAGATGATGGAAGTATTTAGTGATTGGTATTTTGATAATTACCTGTTGATATTGGTTGGTAGTTTTGATATGTACTTGCTGTTGGTTCCCCTGTATAAATTAATTCACACACAACTGAGTGTAATCTTTTCTATTGATGGTAATTGACGGATGCTATTTTATCTGGTGAAAATTGTCATTTGAACATTTTCACGGTCTTGGTATAGTACTGTCTCCTAACCAAAATACTTACTATTTATTATAGACAATGTGGATTTGGGCACTGCATGCGGCAAATATTACAGAGTGTGCTGCCTCAGCATTATTGATCCTGGTATCTGATTGTCTCCTAGAACTATTTCAACATTGGAAACTGTTTTTATGTTTTATTTTCCTAATACTTTGTTTTTCTGTTGTTTTCAGGTGATTCAGATATCATTAAGACACTGCCCGGGGAACAGTGAAGTAGCGTCGGAAGTTCTTTGCTTAATATTTTTTGTTTTTAGTTGACTCAGACATTTGAAAGAAAATCTGATTGAGTTGTAAACTTTGGAGTAAGGTGGCATGTTTTTTTGTGTACTCTAGCTAAGCATCAAGTAATTTTGACTTTGCAAATTCTTCATGATGTTTTATTGTGCCAATTTCTATAGAGAATATATTTTTATTATTGATTGTTCTTTATGTTAATGCCTGTTTTTTTATCAAAGTTGCTCTTAATGCAGATATAGAGTTAATGCGGATATACGTAGATAATATAAATACAATGCAGATAGAAATACAGGGTTATTTTTTTGCTTTTTGGAGGTTTCGGGTAGGCCAGCTTGATAAAAAAAAATGGACAAGATCAATTGAGTTTCAATTCTTTGCATATTTTGCTCCCACAATTTTGTAAACTTTTTTAGGTTGGATAGTCGTATCAATGAAGTTTCGCAGTTCTTTTCAAAATGTGTATGTATACACACACACTATTATATATATGAATAGTTGTGATTTTCAGCAACACCACCGGTAGTAAGGGAGTATGATGGTCATTCCTTCCTAGATCAGTAAAATCTTAACACCATAGTAAGGGAGTATCATGGCTAAGGTAATTTCTAGTTCTAGTTGAAATGATTTGGTCTCCAGGACAGTGGTGTTTATAGGACTTGTTTACGTATGTCCTTAGCCCGAAAATTTGAGTTCGAATTTGGCTAGTTTCTAACTTTTGTTATTGACACTCTTACTCTAAGAATTACCTTTTAAATGATGAACTTTTGTTATAATCATCATCTCCGGGAATGATTTTGAATGACCCCTCTGATTTTATTCTAAAGCTGTACTTGTTGTAGAGTATTGTTATAGTTATCTGTCTTTCATCATAATCAAAAGGCAATACCATACTGAACATTTATTTCTTAAGGTTAAACTAGTCATTTGGTTCTTATTTTTCCCCCATTTTAAGTTTTGGTCCTGCTACAAGAAAACTATATTAGCTCCAGGCACTAGACAATTTTTTGTAACGCTTTATCACCAGAAAAATTTTCTAGCGGTTTTAAACAGCTAATGACTCTAATTTACAGCTACATTCACCTTATCAAATTCATTTTAAATCACCCTAAAAAATCATTTTAAGTTTAAAATATAATTAAGTCAAACATATATAAAGCATTACGCACTAATTATAACAATCAATCACCTTCGATAGTATATTAAATACTTTTTTTTTTGTTATTTGTCACTAATTAAATTCTCTACATGTACACCACATGAAAGTGGATAATGCTAACCAATATGCCAAGTATATAATGTAATTTTCAATTATTTTTTTTACATATCAATTTCTTAATTCATTATTTTGTGACTTTGTGGACATTAATTTATTTTTCATTTGACCACTATTTTTACACATTATTTTTTATTTAAACTGTCACAATATTACATTGCTTTTAATGATGTCACAGCGTTTGCACTAACAAAATTGCAAATACTTTTTAATTTTCAAATACATGACAACTTTTATATAAATAAATTTACAAACTTTCTCCCCCAAACACAGCAAAATTAGTATGAAAAAATTGCCAATTAAAGCATATGTTTAGTTTCGCCTCACTCAACCTTGGATGTACTTCAATTTGAAGCAATTCTTATTTACTTCTATTAGTGTGCTTGGTTTATCGTGAAAAAGTCTCAAACGACCGTTGAACGTGAAAGCAACAAAATGTCATTTTTCTGCTTTGGAATGTGAGAATTCCCGTTTACGTTATTTTGAATGATAATTCAAACAAGCTCTATGTTATTTGAGATTTGAACGTGATTTTACAATCAAACGTGCACACTACCCGTGTGTTTGCATCCGCGTTTTAACGTGATTTTTCACGTTCAACTTGAAGCAATGAATAGCTGCTTCTATGTAAATCCGTATGTAAACATGGAGAGAGACGAAAGAATTGCGTTTCAAAATGAAAAGCAAACACCCACTACATGTCAATTCAAACACACAATCATCCTCATAACTAATACACGTTATCCTATCTGAGATGTGAAACACTTTCTATTTTATAAATATAAGCTAACAATTGGTCTATTATATATCATCCTTTTTATGCTATCTTTACCTTATACATAACTAGAAAAAGAGGTATAGAAAAACAAATATAAATGTTAACGATACCCTTTTATGATATATGTTTTTTATTTTCAATTAAAATTTATTGAAAATTTAAAAAAAAAAAATTGCAAGTCTCACTTCTTTTAACAAGTTTCAAACATGATTTTATAATTTTTTTAATAAATTTTAGTGTTCACTTGTTGATACCATCATCTCTAATTTCAGTGTCAAGATACAAGGAGTAAAACATTTCAAAATCTCCATCAATGAACCAAAAACAAACCACACAAATAACAATAAAGGGGTATTCTAAAAAAAACTTGAATATCCAATAAAATTCTATAAAAACCAAATATAAAAATCTTTGATTCAAAAAAAAAATGTAATCATTCCCTAAAATAGTTATATTTAATCAAATAAAACTAAATCATCTCCAAAAACAATAGCCACGATATAATTATCGAAAATCATGATTTCTAGATAAAATTCACCTAACCAAACATCTCCTAAATAAATACGGAAATTAAGACCATTCAAAACCAACTCCCATGACTATATTGATGAACGTGTGTGCTATATATGATTTGAGTTCCAACAGAAATTGTAGCACCTCAACTGAGTTCCAAATGAGTCATTAGGCTCATCTACTTTCCAGTTTGCGTTTTATTTATGATTCATGAGTCAATCTTAAGATTCATTTGGTTTCCATTCTACTATTGCCAACGTATGGCGGCCACCACAAGCAACAAGTTTAGCTATCCAATGTCCCTCAGCTGCACTGTCACTGAGATTCTGTGGAGGAGGGATGTTTATAGGTACCTCCATTGGCTGACCAGTGGTCACTTTCCTTCCATATCCAAGACGACCATGGTCACCTCTACCAAACTGCAATCAGTTAAGCGCATAAATATTATAATTAAATCACTTAAATATATTTCTGTTCTTAGTCCTCAAAAATTGTCAAATGTTGGGTTAGAAACGTAAAGTTCAAAAGTTGAATTTTCATGTTATTGTAAAAATTGTTGAACCATCAATCAATTAGAAATTATCTCAGGTATGAATTTTAAAGTAATTATCATAAAATATCAACAAACTTACCATATATTATATAATTTGTGATTGAATAACAGAGTAGAAAACCTTTACACAATCATTGCATTATAATTAAATTCAAAATTAAAATAGGGAATAATACTAAAAATACATTATATTATCCGTATTCAAAGCATATTTAAGTCCAATGAGACTGTTTGAGAAAACGCTTATGATTACTTCAGAGAAAGGCCAGTATAACATTAGCTAATGAATGCTGATAAGCGATAATAATCAATATATTAAATTTGTTAATCAAGGATTCTATCATTTAACCAAATCACAGAAAAGGCAATTAAGATGGTATAGAAAATACTTACAGAAAACATGCGTCCATCCCGGGTTAAAGCAACTGAATGAGTACCTCCACATGACACCTGACCCCAAACCAATTATCTTCATCTCAGAATTTTTTTTTATAACTCTAAATAACAATTATTTTCAAAAATTCCTTTGTTTTTCCATTCCCCCCTCCCCTACTCAAATAGAAGATGTCATGATTGGCAAGACACATGAAGCACACAATATGGATGTCAAAATATAATCAAATGTGACCAGCAGAATTCACAAATTCAAATTAAAATAGACAGAAATGTGCCAAATTATATTCTCCACAAGGGTTTGGATATTTTGGTTCTCCATTTTTGGAGCATCAATCATGTCAAAGTGAGATAAAATTTAGACAGTTCTCAAGCTTAAAAAATTGATGCTTAAAGGTTATATTAAATTCCTCATGGACTTATAGTAATGACTTATGATTACCATGAAGGACATATAATTAGCAACACTCTGCAACAGTCCAGCTTCAGAATAAAAACAGATAGGTCATTAATAAGTTGTTGTAAATGAGAGATACTTATGGGTAATAAGATGGTTATAACAAAAGTTCATTATTAAGAAGGCCATTCATGGAGGCCAAATCATTTCATCTAGATAAGAGCTAGAAAGTGATCATTGTTGTTACCTAGCCATGACACTGAAGCTCCATATATTAGTTAACCTGATCGGGGGAAGATAGCAAAAAAGAGTACCTGAACAATATCTTCACCAGCTAAAAGCTGAACCTTCTGCGGTACCATTTTACTACTCTTGTCACTATCACCGAATCCAAGCCTGCCATGTTCACCCCTTCCCCAGCCATAAACCTGAAATAAATTTCAGAACAAAGATATTATAGCCTAATCACTGGAAAAACGTTAATAGAAACCAAAATCCATTCAGATGAAAATAAAGTAGTAGTATTGAGTATCAACAAAACCAAAACCCACACAGAAGAAAATAAAGTAGCAGTATTAAGTGTCAATGAAGAAACAGAAAACAATTACAGAAAAGTATAACCCTACTCCTTTACTACCAAGGTATACACTATGAAATCAAATAAGTGTCTAAGCATATTGCTTACCTCCATTCACTGCTTACAACCTTGTCTCCTTCAGATTATACTAATAGTTACTTAAATTTGCAAACTAAAAATCACAACCATATGTATACGCACTCACATCTATAATATCTTCCACTTTTTATTTATATTAGCTTTTTCTAGTCCAATTGATTGACGATTTTCCGGTAAGATGCTACATGCTTAGCTACTACAGAAAGCATAGGTGCACTTTAATTAACTCTAGCAATAGGAGATCAAAGATATTATTGTTTTTTGTTGGCTTTATGACTATGCTGAAACTCATACGCATAGATAATCAAATTGCAATTTTGTTGGAAAAAAAAAACTAAAAGAGGATCTGTTTCCAAAACCAATGAGGCATGTATTGTTTTCTACTATAATAAGTATTTTGAGAAGAAGCAAGTAAATAAAAAATTTAAACATATGGAGTTAAACGGAATCAAATATTCTACAAGGGTTTCTTGAAATTAAAATTTAATCCCAATAGATTCCAGGAAAAAAGGGGTACCTCTCCTTCATCTGTCAATGCAATAGAAAGCCATCCACCAGCAGCAATATCCACCTAGAGTTCCAAACAGATTAATAAAAGAACTTAGGAGATCAAGATACTCAATGATCACCCAAAAAATAAAATAAAATAAAATAATAATAACCCCAGTAAACCCTCTGTGAAACAGAAAAGATGCCACTGAAAAAATGAGCTATAGCACAGTGTGCAGCATATTTTAGAAATAACCAATTAACCTGAGTATGAGCAAACAACACTCCCATTACAGATCCTACATGGACCCACACCACCAGATACCCTGTCCCAATCTTGATCTTTCCTAATTCTTAACCGTGTTCTGATAAGTGGCAGTCATATTTGTCATTTTCTCTACACATTATATTTATTCCTATTTTACTAAGTTTCATATGACCTTGAGCAATTATTAGTAATTACTACTCCATGGTAAACTATACTGAATGTATTCTTAAATACCTACATCCTTGTTTGTATGTGCTAGTGGGTAGACATAGCATTCGTATGCATACAAACACCCCATCCAAATGACGAAATATGCTTTGTTCAGGCAGAAATATGCATCAGTTTGTACATATGACAAAATACATCATCTAGTCTGCTGACACAGCAGAGGAAATTAACAAGATGATTTCAAAGAACGAGATACAAACCAGAGTAAGATCAGAAAGTCCTTGAACAGGAATAGGCTGTGATCTTGGTTGAGTATCTCCAGTTCCAAGTTGCCCATATTCATTATTACCCCATGCCCATAAAGTTCCATCCTCTTGAAGAGCCAAATTATGAAATGCCCCAACAGCAATGAGCCTCACATTTTCAAGACCTTGAACCCGAACAGGGACTGAAATCTGTTTTCTACAAGAGAAAGCAAAAAAAAAAAAAAAAAATCAAATTAGAAGTTTCAAAGTAGAAACTATTTAGTTACCTAAAATGCAGCAAAACATCTTAATATGTAAACTAAGTTCCTATGACATGGTATTATAAAGAAGACAATGAAGATAAAAATACCAGATCAAACATAACTATTTTTTTTTTTGGTAGAAGCAAAGAGGCCAAATTTTTGTGTCAAAGTGCAATGTATGATACAATTTGGAGAATTTGGTTGGAGCAAAACTCTAGTATCTTAAGGAGGCTTCTTCGGCACGTCACTTGATTTAGGAAAGATTAGGTGCTTTTGCCATCTATTTGCTGTGATGCACATGACCCTTGTTTTTACTAAGGGATACATTTAGTGATTGGAAAGCTTTATCACATTGATTTTCACTTTTTCTTTGGTTAATTTTCATTTTGTTCTTTGTATAGGAGGATTCTTTAATTCTTTGCAATTCATTCTCTTCATCTCAATAAATTTATTCTTTTATCTCAGAATGACAATTACATGTCACCAGGAGGCCATGGCTGACCCCATGTCCAAACATGCCCTTCACGTGTAAGTACCACTGAGTGAGTTCCTCCTGCAGCAACCTGCACCACAAGAAATTAGAAAAATATCAAACAAAGCCAAAGCCACACCATCAAAACCCTAATACTAATGAGTTGACAAAAAAGAATCAAATTCAATTTACTGAACAAGGCTACAGAGGCTAAGGTTATAAATCACATACCATATAGATGCATCACGTACATAAGAAACTACAGAGAACAACCAAGACCTCATTGAGCTATAAAATGATTTTTATTCTATCATCAGCAAGAAGTCAAGTAATAGACTACCCATGCTAGTAGAGCAATCTCATAACATTTTAACCTTCAGAATTACTCAACTTAAACATTTAAAACAACAATTAAGAATAGGTCAACTTAAAAATTATTGATTTAAGGTGTATTGCTGATTGGAGCTTTAACCCATTTACATGTGAAAGACAAATCTTGAGGGAGACCATTTACATCTATCTCCTTTTTGATGGTTTTACTTATGGTTCAACAGAAGCAAGATCCCCAATAATTAAAGGTAGATGAAGACTTGAATAGGAATTATAGTAACATAAAAAATTAATGATTCGAATAAACAAACATTTAACGTTAATGATTCGCTCAGAAACAAAACAAAGACAAATCTTATTGTCCCATCATTGTATTGCATTGGAATACATAAATTACCTGGCGAACAACAAGCTTTGGGGCACAGCGCTGAGGGATCACTATATCTCTCCTTAAAAGTCTACCAGTGTCATCCTTGGGTTCTTCACCACACTGCCCATATTCATTCCCACCTGAAATCAATTATGTTTTCTTTTAGAAGTTTGATAATATATATATTAACACTCTTTAGACATATTTCACCCAGTCTTCAAATTTTTATCTTCGCATAGATCAATTGTTATCAAGTACTCGTGTAGGTTTGCAGTTCGTCACATTTTACATTATCATTACAAGACATCCTTTAAAGAGAACCCAGTACACGGTAACTATATCATGACACAGTTATTGAGAGAATTCTGTAACTTAAAATGTTATAAAATACAGTCCATGGCCTTGATTTTGGCGGCAACTTTTCAAAGTCTTCCCAGCCACAATTGTGGCTGCATTGACAACATTTGTCTATAATCTCCTACAATGTCAAAGATTGTGACAAAATCACAACTGTGGCTGCAATTTAAAACCTTGATTATGACTGACACTTTCCTTGTTCTTCAATTTATGTATGCAATGCCAAAGATTTTGCCCAAAAAGTCATTCAACTAAAAGCATACAAAACAGTATAGTGGACGAAAAGGAATGAAAGGAGGTCATATGGAAATCAAAGTGAAAAATGAGAAAACAACTTCGCCATTTTGGACTATGCTAATTCTAATAATAAGAAGAAAAAAATTGTGATAAGATTAAGAATTTGTTTGGATAAACTTCTCTAGAAACACTTCTAAGAGAAAAAAGCAGAAAAGGAAATTGAGATAAACTTCTTCATAAGTTAAAAATAAGATTTTGGGAAAACTAATAGGAAAGTTTTCAACTTATGGAGAAGTTTATCTCAATTTTGCTTCCTATTTTTTTCTCCTAGAAGTATGTTTGGAGAAAAGAAAATTGAGATAAACTTCTTCATAAGTTAAAAATAAGATTTTGGAAAAATTAATGAGAAAGTTTTCAACTTATGGAGAAGTTTATCTCAATTTTGCTTCCTATTTTTTTCTCTTAGAAGTATGTTTGGAGAAGTTTATTCAAACAGACCCTAAGAAAAGCAAAAAGGATGATGGCGTGGAGTGAAGTGAATAATACCCCAGGCATAAGCTCTGCCTTGATCATCAACAGCCAAACAGTGCCACCCCCCAATAGCCGCCTAACACAACCACAAGTGAATCATCAATACTCACATAATATGCATAACATCAAACATAACACAGGCATAATAATGATGAATTGAAATGAAATAGAATCAACACTTATATAATGTCTTAAGAAACTAGGTTATTGCCTGATTCAATCTTACAAAATCTGCTTATAAAAAATTGTTCCTCAATTATATACACTATTTTAACCATATCTCTGATGAATGTGAGATCCTCAACACACCCCTTCATGCAGGTGACTCAATAGTGGGTAGCCTGATAAATCTAACAACACTCACTAGATTAATTCCGATACCACCTTCAGAAAGTGGGTTATGTCCGAACTTATCCTCACAAAACCCGTTGTAAAACAAATATATTATATTTGGCCTTATACCAGTGGTCGTATAGGATCTCCAACAATAAGCATAACTAACAACAAACATAAAGAGGGGGTATAATGATGATGAATTGAAGGGAAATAGAACGAATACCTGAAGAATTTTAACACCGGAAAGAGCCTTGAGCTGGCCGGGAATGTTCTCAGTCTTGGTCTCAGTCTCAGACAAGTAGCCAAGCGTGCCCCTTTGGTTCCACCCCCAAGTGAACAGCTACAACACCACACATACAAAAAAAAAAAAAAAGATTTTGAGGAATACCCACGATTGTTATTACGAAGGAATTGAAGAAGAGAGTCTGAGGAAGGTACTTTGCCGTCGTCAGCGATGGCGAGGGAGTTTCTGCTGCCGGCGACGACGGAGCGGAGACGGTGGGGCTGGAGGGCTTTGACGACGGAGACCCATTCCTTCTCTTCGTTGTTGCCGATTCCTAGTTGACCGTCTTCGCCGGAACCCCTGAAGAAAGTGAATCATCGCACACAGAGTGTTATGAGTGAGAGTGTGTGAATGCAGAAAAAGAGAAAGATAGAGAGAGAGAGAGAGAGAGAACAAACCATGCAATGATGTGGGAATGGGAATCCATCAAGGTTTGAGAGTGAGCTGAGAGAGTGAGTGAGTGAGTGCAGAAGAAAACAAGAGGATTGCGTGGGATTCACGAGTGAGTGCTTCTTACCATTTTTTGAATCCAAAACGCAACTAAACTAAACCCACTACTGCGACTTAAATATGTTGTTATCAAGTAGATGCACTGCAACTATCGTTGTATCCAGATTTAGTTACTGTAAAATCTGTTAGTATTTTCTTTACTAAATTTGGACTTCCACGTTAATTTTTTCTAATTAAAAAATTATCAAACGAATCTGAATCTTTATACTGTTAAATGAGTTATTATATTTAATTTGATAAAAAAAATACTAAATCTAATTAGTTACTATCATTTAATCTTTTAATATATATTAATATTTTAAAATATATAATTTACAAATTAAATATTTATTAAATATCTAAAATTTAAAATAAATTATTTATATAAATTATTCTTTATATATTAAATACAAATATCTATCTTACATAAGAGTGTTTTTAGAAGTTTTTCTTTAACGAGAGGGTTGCAGAATTTTTTTTTTTTACTTGTTTGTCTAATTCGATTTTTATTTATCATAATTATTTATAAATTAAATATTATTATTTTAAAACAAATTATCAATAAATAAAATATATTTTTTGTATAATACAAATTATTTATCATAAATCTAAAATATAATTTATATATTAATAGACCAATTTTTATATATCTTTCTATGTATTCTTTGTGGTTTATTTAACTTTTATTAATATCATATTATGATATATTAGCTTTAATTTGTTCTAGTGACTTATTTTGATTTTAGTTGTAAATTTTAGTTAATTTCTGTAATTTTTTCGTATTTTAACATTATTTCTTGTACAAACTATAACACTTTAAAATTTTAATGCTTGATATTTATTTAATTTATAATTATTATGTTACAAAAGGTATAAATATATATATAATAAATAAAAATTCTTGTTTATTTGGTACATGAAATTATTTATTCTATTTACACGTGATTTTTTTTTCATATCTATGAATTTCATTATTTTAAGTTGTGAATTCTTGTCTTAGGAAATGAATTTAAATACTTTATTATGTGAAAGATTAATTTTGGTTTGAAAGAATGTTTTCAATAAAATTCCAAAATTTAGTTTCCACCACATTTTTTTTAACAATTAATTTAGTACAAGTACTTTATGTTTATTTTGACTACAAATTAAGCATCAATTTTACTCTTCTTCCTTCCTTTATTTATTTATTTATTATGATCATATAGATTCAAGAAGGAAAAGATAGAAAGAAAAGAAAGAATGAATGATAATAATACTATTCATTGATTTGACTCAAACCTATCCAATACTTATTTTATTCCTTTTGATCCAAAATCAAACCTCTTATTTCTCACTTTTCTCTCTTTCTCACGAAGCTTGGAGAAGGGTAGAAGGAGAAAGAAAACTTTTCCATTTCTTTCAAGTTTTTTTACAACTAAGACAAGTTCTCAAGCTTTTGGAGCTTCCTACTTCATCTTCTTTTAGTTCTTCTCTTCTATTTCTCTTTTGTCTTACCTTAATCTTGTTCTCGTTAGGAGAAAGTTCTAAAAATCTTGTTCTTTTGTCATCTTATCTTGTGTGAAGCTTCTTTGAGGTAAAGGGAGTTGATCTCAACCTTTAAACTCTTATTTGCTGTAGTTTCTTTTGATTTTGAAAAGTTTTTAAGAAAAATTCGTCACTCCCCTATTATGGTATGCATTTATATAGTTGTATATTGGGATGAGAAATTTTTTATACTCTTTATACTAATACTCAGTAATGTACTTATACCTACACCTCATAAAATTTGTTTGGGGTTGCATCTTTCATCTCTTTTGAAAAATAATCATGGATGTACATATTATAGCTGATGGAGATATGACTTATTAACCATCTTTGTACACTAAGTTCAATTTCATCATATAGGTTCAATTTATCTTTATAATTTTGAAGGTGTAATTGGAATATTTTTATTATTTTATTTTATATTTATTTTATTTAACTTAACTTTATGATTTAATTTAAAATGATTCTAATACGAAAACATCTCCTTAAATGTATGCATTTCTTTGGAAAAAAGAATATTTGTATGATTTATTTTCTTTTGTCAATGATTTTAAAGTAAAGGAAATTATATTTTAATAGTATATTTTGGGCGTTACATTTAGTGGTATCAAAGCAGTTCATCTTAATAAGACTGGGGTATGGACTTGTCCATTATTCGTGTTGTGTGTTGTTATATTTTTGTGTAAATAGGAATATAAGAGGATTGTTTGTTTTTATGACCTTTCTTACTATTCTGAGTAGGGATTTGTGTGACTTGATTTTTTTTTATGAAATGTATGTTTGGTTGTGATTAGTAAGAATAGTTATGTGCTTAAGTTGTGATTCATTATGAGACTAATGTAATAGTTTCAAGAATCATGGCTGGAAGACCAGGAAATACAACTGCTGAACTATTAGCTTGGATGACTCAAGTGCTTGAGAGTTTAGTCCAAGACCGAGATGTTGAACCTTTAGAGTACAGAGGACTATATGCTTTTACAAGGCATAACCTACCAAGGTTCGAGGGCAATTTTGACCTTGAGGGAGCACAAAGATGGATTTTGAAGATAAAGAGAATTTTTAATGCTTTGGGATGTCGTGAAGAACATAAAGTCATCTATGCCACTTACATACTGAGTGGGGAAGCTGAAGATTGGTGGATGTTTACCAATTAAACTTTACCATGAGACGAAGGTGTGATTGTGATGGGTTCCTTCTCCATGGAATGTCGTAGAGATGAAGGAGAGGAAGCCTTGCCCTTGATCTAGGTTCAACAAGGAAGATAAAAGGGAGGTTTATGGTGACAAGGGTGGAAGTTAGGCGTGAATATGGTGTTTGGGCGGAAGCTTTTTAGGTGATGGTGTTTGGTGATTTAGGTTGGCTCACTCCAAGGTAGGTGGAGGCCACTCTAGGGTCTCACTCTCCAAGGGTGGAGAATGAAGGAGGCTAGCCGAACTAACCTAGGGACTAAGGAAGGATTTGAGGCAAAAAATGCTCTCTCAAATTCATATAATCCAAAGTATTTACAACCTCTTAAATTTGTAACTACTTCATTCAAAATTTATAAAACCGACAAACTATTACTCCCTTCTTATTATAATTTCTATTCATTTTCCCCGTATCTCCCACATTTCTCACTTTCCATCTCTATCACACCCTATTCTTTTTATACTCTGGTACAATCTTTGTCTCTCATCTTCATTTTTTTCTACTATGTGTTTTTGTTTTATTGACTCCACATCTCTCACTTTCTATCTTTCTCATACCCTATTCTTTTTGTCCTCTGGTACAACCTTTGTCTCTCATCTTCATGTTCTTCTACTACGTGTTTTTATTATTGACTTTGCTATATTTATTGATTGGATTCGCAAGGTAAAACTCTTCTTTGTGTGGCTACTGTGATAGTAACTGTAGGGGAGTCATTCTTTCGTACAACACAGTTGGTAACTCCTATTTTCTGCTTTGTATGAATAATTGGGTCTCCATTTATCATGTTTATAGATGAATTACATAAATAAATAAATGGTAAAACTATCTTATGACACCTTTCAAATACACGACAGATATATCTGATGGAGGCACGGATACTGTTTTAAAACTCCATGTTCATTCGTCTAGAAGATAATAGAAACATTCTTTATCAAATTTTGCCTATATAATAAATAAATTTATATAATTTGAAATGAATATTTATAATAATTTTAAAAATACATAAATTCAATTTCAAAATTAGGTTAAAAACCTAATTTGGTCCCTTATAATAATTTAAAGTTTCAGTTTAGTCCCACTTTAGTTTTTGGTTTCAATTTGGTCCTAAGTAATTTAAAATGCTACAATGTGGGACTTCCGTCCAAATTTGACTAACAGGGTTATCTCTTGGCCACGTGGATGCCAATTGGATGCTTACGTGGATTGACATGTAAGCTTTTCTTATGCTTGTTTATCTTTTCGTGGATGGCTATGTTTTCCTTATTCTCATCTGAAGGTCCTTCTTCTTCTTCTTCTTCTTCTTCTTCTTCTTATTGTCCCATGTCCCGATGTTGACAAATTTGTTTTTCTTGTCCCTATTTCAACAATCTTCCAAGATTTGAACTTAGGGTTTACTGTTTTACAATGAAAATGTCCCGAATGTCATCCAACTCACGCCCAATGAACTCAACGAATTCAAGTGGGTCTGAAGGTCATGGTAGTAGGTATTTTGTTGCCTGTTGCTATTGTAGGGAGGTTGTTGTGTTGCGAATAATAATTACATTTGCAAATGCTGGTAAAAGATTTTAGGGTTGTTCAAATTACAAGGTATGTTATGTATTTTAATTAATTTTATTTTGCCCTAGTTTTTGATTTGTGAGTTTTGCTGCTTTGGTTAAAAAAATTTGTAGTTTGGTGATGCTGAATAACAAGGATGAAACTTTTTCAAGTGGTCTTTAGAGGAATATGTGGATGAAAGGGATTTTTCGATAGCTAGTAGAGGAGAAAGATGAACAATCTCCAGAGTTCTCTGAAATAATAAGATGCTGCATGAAGTTGTTGATAATTCTTATTGGTTTTTTGTTGTTGTTGAGTTTGGTCTTAATGTATGTAATTTGTAACAACTTGGTTCAATTTGGAAGGGTGTTTTATTTGAAGTAGTCAAATATGGTGTTTTGTATGTAATGACAACTTTGGGAATGTTGTGGTTGGATATTTTTGTAATGTTGGTTTAATTGTAATGGAATTATCAACAATTAGTAATGATAGTATTGAAGCATTGTCTCAAGTTTAAATTTAACTCTTAGTTTTTAAGAGTAAAACCAGTTTTCGAATGACAAGAGTAAAACCATCGGTGCACGAAATATCAATATGAAACCAAACCAATAATCATAGACATACATATATTAAGATCTAAATTTTGAAAGACTTGAATACATATGGTTTGAAATTTGAAAGAGTTAAATACATATGCTAAGAAAGTTCAAAGACTAAAAATAGAAATTCATCACTAGTGTCATCCGGGCCACTTAGTAATTCTCACGATTCATATTCTTCATCTGAAATACCCCTACCCATGGAATGGGTTTTTTT